TGAATCAAGGTCAGAGGTAGAGATTTAGCTGGAAGGATGTTGCTGGAGTTGATCCTGCATGAGAAGATGCATGGGCTGAAACACTGTTGACCGAGAAGGGCGAAGGCCATGAGGTTGGCCACTCCCCAGGGCTGAAGGGTGGTGTCAGTGTTCAGACATCTGCAATACAGATTTCAGGAAATGGTGACTGATTTGGAGAGCTTCCTACTTCTGCAGTCTGATTTTCAGAAAAAAATTAAAAAAAAAACCCCACATAAGAACACTACAAGGGTTTCATTTTCTAAAAGCCATCCAAACTGGGCAATGGCTGTCACTAAAAAGCCTGTCTTGTTCAGTGGGAGATGGGATCTGCCTGAGCTACCTCCCGTCAGTACCATAAAGTTTATTGTTGGGTTTAAAAATCAAGCCTAACATCCAGGCTCTGAGAGTAAACCAGGGCTGTCGCAGAGAAAAAAGGTGCAGATACCACTCCACCCCTAAACCATACCATTTTTCAGCCATGGCCAGAGATGCCCACCTCTCTCCTGGGGCTTATTCTTCCAGCAATCCAAAACCAGGCATGACTGTGTAGCTCCCTGCCTGCACTCACTCCTGCCTTGCTCTCTTTCATGATATTTCTCCCGTTGCCCAGGAGACCTGCAGCCACCAAGTAATGAGAAAACAAAACTGCTGGTCCCTGGTTGTGCTACACATCCCAAGGGGAACATGTCCCACAGTGGCTCTGTAACTTCTAGGTATGGCTCCCTCCCCACAAACACCCCAGGAAAGCGGGCACCCACACACACAGGTTAAGCAAAGCACCCAAAGCTCAGAGTGGGGGTGCTGAGGAAGCCTGTGGGTGTGCAGCTATAAGGGTGAAGTTGTGGACAAACCTGTTGTGGTCCCATGTCTAAAATTGTTCAAATACGCATTCCAGGCAGTTCCAGGCAGCTGAAAAGAAAACAAAATTTGTTTTGGGATTGAAACGTTTTCTTGATGTCTTGCAGTTCTTTGGTGAGTGCCACAGGGCACTTCAGACAGCAGACACACAGAGCAGAGATCTTCCATGGGAGAGTGATATAATAAGACTGTTCTGGGCATTAGCTTTTATACATATATATATATTTCAGATAAAATCCATGCTTATCTGTATGCAGCTCTGACTGTATGCCTTTGAAAGGAAATCAAAGCTTCCCACCCTTCTGAACACAGCAACACCCAGCAAGATTCGCAAACCTCTCCCTACACACTCTCTGCTCCCATAACAAGACAAACCATCTCCAAAGTTTCCATTTTTTGGTCTCTTCCAGCCCACCAGGATGCCTTTTCTCCCTCTGCCACATCTTCCTCTCTCTGCACCATGCTGGCACTGACACTCACTTGCCCATCCCCATAGCTCATAGTGGAAAACTGACAACATAGGCTGAGCTCAGAGATTAATTCCAAGCTTGCTGAAGCACCAGTGCCCAGGAGCTGGCTCAAGAAGAAAACAGAATCTCTCCAGGTTTCTCATGCTGCTTTGTCTACAAGTAAGAAGGAGAAAATGCACTTACAGGAGCTTCTTCTCCTGTTCCCATCCTGCCAGACGCTTGAATCAACTCTTAGGAACCTCTTTTACTCGTGTAAGAGCATGGGCAGGAAATGTGACTTCAGTGTGACCTCCCTGGTTTTGTTCTGCCTTTCCTGGTGTTAATCAGTGAGTGACAGCACTTAAGGAATCATCTCCACCCCACATCTGAGCATGAATACAATATCTAGACAATATCTACAATATCTAGAACTGGCACCTGCACCCAGAGTTGGGCTTTGGCACTTGAGATACCCCTCAGGACACAGCACCTTCTGCCACGGATGCCATGAGGACCCAGCACTCTCCTTCATAAACACAACCTACTCTTGTATAGCTGGAGTCAGACTTCACATTAGGGGTGGCCCGAGCTGCAAGGGCCAAGGATCCATGTCAGCACAATGCGAATATCACTGGTGGATCCCATGCACCCCTCCCTGTTCCATCTGGATTTGCTGCATACCAGCCCCAGATGTGGCAACAAGTTCCCTCTTGTTATTTTGTTTTCTAAAAGCTTTCATTAGTGGAAATATTTGTGGTTGTGGAACAAATGGATATTAAGATTAGATCATGTCCACCCTGCCCATGTCCCAGCTCCCCTGGGCAGGACTGGATCTGCTTGGTCTCTGCACTGAGAGGCTCTCAGGGCTAAGTCCCTGCTGTAGAAATCTGCCCTTCTTTTTCCAGGAAATCTGAATAAGCCACATGCTACTTGGATGGTGCAGAGTCCTCATCCCCTGCAGAGCAGAAATGGTTACCAGTGGGGCCATCGGGCCCTGGCAGCTCTATGGGGACAATCACATGTCTTTGCAGGCACTGACAAAGCCTTGCAAGTGGTACCAGAATAACAAGCTTATTGCCATAGTTGAAGATACAGAGATCGACAACAGCAGAGATGTGCCAGGCTCCTGGCACTGCCACGGGGATGTTGGGAGAAGCTCCACAGAACAACCTTTGCTTGCTTCTCAAAGGTGTCTCTGATGAAGTGGATTATTGGAGAGGTTTTAGAGCATCACTGTTGTTGAGTGGTCACCTAGTAGCTCATTTCCTTCAGCCCACCACCAAACAGGGCTGCAGGGAACACTCTGACTGTGCCAAAGCCATCCTCCATGCCAACTCTGGTGTGCTTTATAAATCCCAAGCCACCTTGGTAAAAACAGGAGAAAAGAGCAGCAGCGATGACCACAGCTCCAAATCCAACCTGCCCCATGGCAGGTGGATTCGCAGAGAGAAATACATTATTTTTACTCATCTTCTTGTTTGCTGCCATCAGCTGGTGTGCATGTGTGCCTGCATTTAAAAGATAGCCTATAATATGTATAGGCAATGTACAGATTATCAGACAGCAAGAAGCTGCTCGCAAAGCTGAGGCGCCAGACACGCACACAAGGATGCTACAGCTGACAACAGTTTCATTAGCCCAGCAATTAAAATGAAATAAGTTTTTTGTTTTAATTGAGTTTTTCCCCTAAAGCACATATTGTGCAGATCTGCAGGGATTTAAATATGCCTCTAAGAGTCATTAGAGAAAGTAGCCTTCATGGTAATCTATCACAAGATTTTAACTCAATTCGGGAGCTGGTAATTGCACAGATCTTTTAAATTCATTTTATTTTTTATACTCTGCAGAGCCCTAATAGCTTTGGCAATTAAGGTAACCAGATTACTGGTAATGGGGAGCACATGTACAGAGATACACCAGCTACCTGAGCTGCTTTCTTTTATGCTTCTGAAAATGTTGTGTCAGTGGTGTGGTGGCCCTGCAGGAGCAGCGGCTCTACGTCCCCCGCTGCTCAGAGATGGGGAGACATAAACACTGCAGCAGAGCACTGCAAAACCAGTCAGGGATTTTGGAGAAAAGGACTCTGCTATTTTGCTCAGACAAGCTGTCCCCTGGTTTATGTGAGGAGGTTAGGCATCTTCAGGATCCTAGATTTTTCCACCTGCCCCAGAGTCTGGTTCACTTAAAGTGAGAAGCAATTTGTCGGTTGTCTTTGGGTTTCAGAATCCACTGCCTGGCATGCAGCAGGTGCAATGTGAGCTCTGCTTGACAGCTGGAATTCAGGAAAAAATAGTCAACAAGACAGTTGACTTGATTCAAGATAACCAGACTGATGGAAATCTGGCCTCTGACTCTGCCCTCTGATACAGAGCTTCCACCTGATGTCACAGTGGGGGTCTATATTGACATGAGAAGTTCTGAACTGGGGTTGTTTAGTCTGGAGAAGAGAAGGCTCAGGGGGGACCTTATAACTCTCTACAAGTATCTGGAAGGAGGCTGTAGTGAGGTGGTGTCAGTCTCTTCTCCTAGGTAACAAGCAATAGGTCAAGAGGTAACCTCCTCAAGGGGAAGTTTAAGCTGCATATTAAAAAAAATTTCTTCACTGAAATGGTACCCAGGCACTGGTACAGGCTGCCCAGGGAAGCGGTGGAACCACCATCCCCGAGGCTGTTCAAGACCGTGTAGATGCCCTTAGTGATATGGTTTAGTGGGGGACTTGGCAGTCTGGGTGTAATGGTTGGACCTGATGAACTTGAAGGTCTTTTCCAACCTAAATGATTCTACGATTCCAAGTTACAGGAAAACTGCAAAGCTTTTTTCCGATCCAGCAAATGACAGCCTAAACCCCTACTTTCGGGGGTTCAACCCGGAGCCTCTGTGTTTTGCAAACCCTAGATACTTGTGCCCAGCCGCGGTGGGGAAAGGCTCCAGCTTCACGCAGGGCCGCACCCCGCTGCCTGTTTAGCAGGTCTGAGGGAAGGGCAGCGGCTGGGATGGGATGAGGTGGGGTGGGATGGGGTGGGATGGGGTGGGATGGGATGGGCTGCTCTAGGTGACAGGGCCGGACCTCCACCATGCCTCCACGCCCGCCCCGAGATGACATCCCGCCCCGGCCTGCAGTGACAGCGGCGGCGCTCTGGATTGGCTGTCGGCGGGTGGGTTGCCGCGTGGCATGCTGGGAGTGGTAGTTCTCAGGCCCGACCCGCAGGAACCTAGGGCCACGGAGGCGGGGCGCGCCCGGCCAATAAGAGACGGGGGGCGGGGCGAGGCGCGCATACGCCGGCCGGTATCGAGATTCGGGAGGCCAACCGCAGCGGCGGTGGCAACAGCGTGGTGAGGACCTATCCTTGGAGGGTAACTGGGGAGGGGACCCGAGGTGGAGACCCGAGAGCTGGGGGAGGGTATCGGGGGCAGATAGAAGGGCAGAGGCCCGGGGTGGAGTGAAGGTGCATGGGGCTGGAGTGGGGCAGAGGCCTTGTGTGGAGTACGAGGGCCTAGTGCTGGAGTAGAGGGAGGGCCCCGGCCGGGTCTGGGTGGGGGAAGGCAGCTCGGTGGTTCTGTGGGGTGCTAGGTCCTGTCACATGCCCACCCGTGTCAGAGCCGCCCCCTGTGGGTGCCCCTGCTGCGGTATGGGGCACGTCAGGGCAGCGATGTGCCCCACGGCCACACGAGGTGAAGGTCACGGAAATGTCTCGCGGTGGACAAATTGCTTCACTTCGCGGTATCCTTCCCTTGTGTGAATCTCACCTGCGGCTGTTTCCGCCTGTCCAGCGTGACTGAGGGGTGGGGGGTGTGTGTGTGTGTGTGTGCCCTCTCAAGTTTCCTTCTCCGAATGAGCCAGGCTAAAATATAACTTCCATTTAGCAATAAGGGTAGCAGTAGGAGGCACAGGAAGGCCAAATCTTTTGGCCTGCAGAGGCTTGCGTGTTTTGTTTAAAACCCAGGCAGTCTGAAATGGGTGCTAACAGGGAATACAGCCACGTTTGAAGTGCATCTTTTGCATATTAATTTAAGCCCGTGCTTAAGTTAAATTCCTGATGGCTTATTTCAAGAGGTTGGAGTACATTGATGTGCCCGCAAGCTGTATGTGGCTGCTGAACCTCTTTACGGCAAAACAGGAACAATACAGGTAGAGGTTTTGCTAGCAGAGGCCTGTGTGATGCTGTTGAACTGACTGTGCTGGCAGAAAGTCACCAATTGAAGAATTATGCTTGTGCCAAGCACTGAAGAAAGAACAGGTTCTCGATGCAGTTGCGATGGAGACAGGACAAGAAGCTGGCAGGTTTTGGTGGATGGTCTCTCTGGTTTGGTGATGATGACTGCGAGTAAAGCCCTCCTCGTGGCCATTGCTGCTTTTTCTTTAACTAGGGGGCATGTGAGAAATCACCTGTGCCGCAATGGAAACTGTGATCATCCTCCTGATGTGCCCTCACATGAGTCTGTGCCAGTCAAGGGCTTCACAACTTGCTCTGGCTCCTCCACAGCTGCCATTTTACATTCTTGCATTCTCCAGTAGGTGTTTGAAATCTCACTGAAGTGGTGGATGAGGTGGTAAGAGATGTAGTGACCAACAAGCTGCCAGGTAGGGCTGACCTTCTGCAGCAGCTTGCACTTTCCCTGAGTGCTTCAAGTGCTGCTCTTGGCAGGGAGTGAAAGAGGAGAAATGAACTTCTCTGAGGTCAGAGCTGCTGTTAGGGAATTGTCTGTGGAAATAAAGCAGTGTGGTGGAGGATGGAAGGCCTGAAAGGAAATGCAGGCAGTGATCAGAGCTTTCAGTGGCTTCTCGCTGCCCATGAGGGGCAGCTGGGGTCTGTAATTGTGTGAAAGCCATGGCAGAAATTTGTTGCTTCAGCACTTTTTCTTTTGTCCTGTCCTTCCCTCTCCTATTATGCAATGATCTTGCTTTCCAGGACTTCACTTGAATTAGTTCATCTGTATATAGCTCATCAGCTCGAGTCTAGCTGTTGTGCTTTTATCTTGCTGCTCAGTTCACTCATGGACTATGTAAGGGAATTTATTTTTCTAAAAGTTCTCTTAACTTGGTGTTTCTAAATCCTGAAGAGAGACTCTTTGTCTTCACAGCCACTATGTCATCTGGCCAGGAATCCATTTTCCCTGAATATGAGACTGAAACCAGTCAGACGTCAAAGCTGTTAAGAAAATTTAAAGAGACGCCATTTGTACCAGTTGGTAAGTATAAAGAAGAATAAATGTGTTTACACATACATCTTTCTTTTCATGGGCAATCAGTAGGGTTAATGCTGTTTACCTTTTTCCCCCATTAATGGGAAATAACTTTGAAATTACTTCGTTGTGTAGGCTTTTCGTATGCTGACAGCAGTATTCCTTCTGCCCAGAATGATGTTTGCTCTGCAAGATACAGGGAAATTAATGAGGCTTGTTAGCATAAATAGAAAACTCAGAACCTACAATTGCAAGTGGAAAAAAAAAATCCACAAAACAACACCAAAAAAAAACCCAGCCAACCTGCAAACCCTGAAAGATTAATTAGGTGAGCTTAAAAAAGGATGCTTAGGTGATCCTGTTAAGTGTTAAAGAGACTGTGTTTTCTAGACGTTCTGGAGTGTACGGTTGATGGGAAGTACGTGATCTTTACAAAGTGACTTTAAAGCCAACAAAATACAACCTAGAAGTGTCTAAAAATACAACCTGCCAGCTAAATGTGTCATCCTTCTCTGCTGGTATCCTTAGTTTAAAATGCATTTTCTTAGTAGGTTTTGCAGTGCCCCAGCTTGAGGAGGCTGCTAAAGTTTTCAGCCTCTCTGCTGAAACCCTGAGAAAGCCTCAGAGGAGGGAGAGGGTCAGTTGTATCCCTCCCAAGAGCTTTGCTCTGACTGGGACCTGCCTCTGACGTGAGACATGTTTGATTTCCAGCCACCTAAAATGGAGAGCAGTCAGGTCACTTAGGGTGAACTGTTTCAGGCGTTTGCCAGGAGATATCTGTCACCGGTCTGTGTGATCACAGGACTTTGCTTTCCAGCTTCCTAGGGCGTACTGTGAGTTCTGTGAGTTCGGGTTCTCCTGAGCAGATGGGCAAAATTTAACCTTCAGCCTATGCTGGAGCTAGTTTGAGTGCTCTAAAACTCTTAATTGGTATTTAATGAAGCTGCCACATGGGTCGTGCACCAGTGAAGGGTTTATGGCTTCGCAAGTGGAACTGGTGATACTCCTGTTCAGGGAGACAAGCTGTCCAAGCTCTCGTTGGTAAAATACACACTACACTTAAAAATTGGCTGCCTCCTTGTGCTATGTAAATAATCATGCAAAATAGGAAATGAAGTGGATAAAATTGGGAAATCTTATGCATTGGCACTCTATATTCCATGAGACCATCAGTATACACAGGTTGGAGCTGGCATAGCCAGGGCTGTGGTTGGTCTGTTGGAGAACAAAACGTTCATTCTCTCCCTGTGAAAGAGACCTGGCTGCACTTCTCCCCCCACCTCTCAGGACCAGTAACACGACTTGTCCTATCCCAGTGAAAGCTGTCTGTATGTGACAACATACAGTCAGGACAGTGGGTATGTCAGGCTGCACCTATATGCTGGGGGTCATATCTGCAGCTGAGTAGGGTTCTTGGATGTGAGCTTCTGTCCTGGAAAGAGGATGCAAGCAGCACTTACTCCTCCTGAAAATTATCCAGGAACTCTGAGCTACTGCTTTGGCATTTTAACGCTAGTGGAAATCCTAGAATGGTTTGGGTTGGAAGGCACCTTAAGGATAGGAAGAAATTCTTCCCTGTGAGGGTGGTGAGGCCCTGGCACAGGTTGCCCAGAGAAGCTGTTGCTGCCCTATCCCTGGCAGTGTTCAAGGCCAGGTTGGATGGGGCTTTGAGCAACCTGGTCTTGTGGAAGGAGTCCCTGTCCGTGGCAGGGGGTTGGACTTAGGATTAGGGAAGGGAACTTAAAGACCATCCAGTTCCAAATGTCCTGCCACAGGCAGGGATACCTTCCACTTGACTAGGTCGTCAAAGCCCTGGCCAAGTAACAGCTGGAGTTTAGACAGCAGGCAAGCAAGAGGTCTGAAGATCTCTAAAGATCTGTATTCTTGCCATTGTTACCAAAACAGTGAGGCAAATAGCTGCAAAAAAGCCAGAGGAAATGTCAATAATTTATTGCAGCAACTAGCTCATTAGCTCATGTTTGTGAAGGATTTACTTGATTATGTAAAGGCAACCATGAAAGCCTTTAAATAACAAAAAAAGAATTTTTCAGTGTCTAAGATTGTCTCATAAGAGTACCCCTATTCTGCCCTAGCCATTTTTATGTAAGATTTTGTGTGATGGCAAAAGGTGCCCCTGAAACTGCTCTGCTCTTGTAGGAAGCAGGAAATCTATGGAAAGTATATGAAGACCTAAAATGGTATTTACTGCTACAGTCTTACTTAGTGATTAGATCATTTTCTATTATATGGGTTTCAGTTGAAATATTTTGTACCATCACATGGTTGACTGGTTTTTGCCCCATGAAATCTTGTTTCTGCTTGATGTCGTTTAATTTAAAAGCTATTTTTATATTTCATAATGTAACATAATCTAGGAATTATATGATGTTCTCTCTAGCTTGTCTCTGTGTATGAAAATGACAATCTCTTGCTCTTCTTTGCACTGACTTCTGCATAGAATGAGGGGACCCATGAGTGCAATCAGTAGACAGGGCAAGACTTGTCATCCACATAGAAACAGCAATTTGACCAAAGCATGGTTATTTTAGGACAGGGGGAAACACCTGAAGTCATGCCAGGGAACATTTATCTTTGATATTAAGAGAAATTTCTTCACCAAAAGTGTTATCAAGTGTTGGAACAGGCTGCCCAGGGAAGTGGCTAAATGGCCATCCCTAGAGGGATTCAAAAGACTTGCAGATGTGGCACTTAAAGACATGGTTCAGTGATGGCCTTGGCAGCGCTTGGTTGACAGTTGGACTTGATCTTCAGGGTCTTTTCCAACCTAAATAACTGCATGATTCCCGGGGTATTTTGTTTAGATGGGTCACTTCACACATCCCTGATGTTGATCTCAACTCAGAAGGATGCTTGCCTCTCTTGCAGGGATGGCTGGCTTTGTCGCATTGGTTGGGTATGGGCTGTACAAATTGAAGCACAGAGGTAACATGAAAATGTCGCTTCACCTGATTCACGTGCGGGTGGCAGCCCAGGGCTTCGTCGTGGGAGCGCTCACATGTGGTGCGTACTGAACAGGAGGACCTCTCACATCTATTCTCTTAGTGGTTTACACAGCGTACATGAAATATTGGGGTGGAAGTGTGCCATCTCTTACATTTTAGGATGTTTATGCTCATGACTGGTGTTTGCTGAGACTTCCTAGAGTAGTGTGACTTTTAACTACACGTTTTAATGTTAAGCTGTGCTAACTCTGAGAGTAGAAGCTTTGACTGCTTTTAGATGTGGAAAGTATGTGAGGTTCTGCAGATGTTGAAATTAAGAGGCAAATAAAATAAAAGAATGGTCTGAGATTAATATTTCCCCTTGTAAATATGTTGCTGTTCCTGAATATAGCACATTGGAAGACCAGTTTATGTAGTGTAGTATTGTATGTTTTTATATATAGATTTTCAGGACTGAATGTACGAGTGTGTATGTCCCAGGTCTTACCTAAGTATTCGAGCTATGTATGTGTGTCAGTGCCTGTCCTGTGAAACACTGTTGATACTGTATTCCCAGAAGTTACAACAGAGAAGCCTGACTGCAACGCAAACTAGAATTAGCTTGGGATCAGGATTTTCATATACAGTATAATTCCCTGTCAGACTTCTCTGTATATGAAGAAGTCAGTGTACATCACTGCTATTAATAAAAAAAAAAAAAAAAAGAGGAAGGGAAACATTATTTCATGACTGAGACTCTCTCTTACTGTTGAAATTGAAACCTGTTATTTCTTGTTTAACAAAGCTTTCTGATTGTATTTCTGTCTTGTAGGTGTGCTGTATTCGATGTTTCGGGAGCATGTGCTGAAGCCCAAGGAGTAGCAGAAAGCTGACTGAAATCTCTGTCCTGGTGGTGGCCTGTGTACTGCAGCTACAAACCTCCTATCAAGGGGTTCTTGAGGAAAAACAAAAAACACGGTATTAGAGAATTGCCCTGTATATATTTGGTGTACAGAACACTGTCTTGGAGCTGGCAGCCTAAATGATTGTGCACTGGGGTAGCGGGTGTCAGAGTGTTTCTTTGATTGACATTAGCATATCCCAGCTTTTAGGGGATAGAGTAGAGTACAATGCCTTTATCTTCTCCTCAACTATCAATACTTTCCTAAAATTGGTGGCTTCTTTTGCTGCCGTTGCCCAAAACCACAGTCTGAACTAGCTTCTATGAGGCATTGGGCAGGATGTGGAGGCCAGGCCTGTAAGTTGTCGTGAATGCTTTGCTGTCATTCTATCTAGTGTATTTGTCAGCCTCCAACTTTGTAATTTAGAAGCTTCTAGTAGCACTAAACGATTTATAAAATATTGAGAGAAATATGAACATTTATTTTTTTTTATTTAAGGCGTAAGTATTCAGTGTGTTGCAGCTATTTAAATGTTATATTTATTCATTGTTAAGAGGACACAGGCTCCCTATTTTTACTATAGATTTTCAGACTCTTGAATTGCTATATTTTGTAACTTTATTTACAGTGTTCTTCTGAATAACATTTAAATGTAACATTTAAAACAGATACTGTGGAAATTAAACCTTTATTTGGTGTTCTGATGCTTTCAGCTGAAGTGTATGATCTAGCTCTGATTTCTGTGGTATCATTATAAATCTGAAAAGGCCCCATAATCTTTGAGGTGTTAAAACCTTTCTCTGTCAGTTGCTACTGTTATTTTACACTCGGACCCCTTGTATCTGCAACAGCAGTCACAAAAATAAATATGTTGAGAAATCCAATTTGTAAAAACCTCATTTTCTCCTCTTAGCTTACATTCCATGGTGACAATATGATGTCTCTGTAGCAAATACCACAAGGTCTATACTGCACCTCTGTCTGTGACATATTGTACAGCCCAGTGGGAGGTAAAACGTGAATAAATGTATGAGCACTAGAGGTAACAAGTGTTTGGCTATGGATTTGTTGGGGGGTGCGCCCCCCTGTGCGTGCCTCCTCTTGCAGAGCAGGGTGAGCTCCTGTACCCGGATAAAAACCGCCTGAGAAGGTGCGATGCTCCTGGAAAGGCCATTCCCAGCCGGCACAACTTCGCTGTCCTTGGCGGCGCTCACAGCCCTCCCCCACCGGGGACGAGCGGCGAAGGCGTACGGAAAGTCCTCTCCACCGCGCATGGGCCTTTTCCCGTCACCGCCTTCCTCCTCCCCCTCCACGGGGCGGTATAAGGAGCAACCCCACTCCCTCCACCGCCGCACCCCGAGGGGCTGGGCTTCTACCGGGAAGGGGCGGTCCTGTGCGCGGCTCATCGGAGCTATCATGGCGGCTGGCTTGAGGGGTAGGGCGCATGCGTGGCCCTGCCCTTCCCCTGCCCTTCTAGCCTGGGCGCCGTTGCTATGAGAACCGCGTGGGGCTGCGGCTGGGCCGGGAGCCGGAGCCGGAGCGGCCGGGCCCAGCGGGCAGCCAGCAGGAAGGGGCGGCTGGGGAGGGGGTCCCTGCCGCTGCCCTCGGGGCCGGGGAAGGCGGTTTCGGTAGGCAGATGGGCCGGGAGGTGCGGGGGAGGCAGCGCGGCCCTGCCAGGCGGCAGAACAAGGCGGGCGTTGCGCGGGGAAGAGAGGGATTCCCCTCTCCGCACGCATCAGATCTGCAGCAGAGCCCCTATTCTAGGTTTGGACTCGGTGCCCAGGCAGGTTGTCGGGCTAAAGATTGCCCTCTGACCATCGTTCATACCCACGGGGCTTGTGGCTATGCAGAGGCGCCGGACTCTGCTCTTTGCTCTTGTCGGTTCATAGTGCACCCTGTCCCGGTGCAGGCTGCGGTGTGTCCCTGCCCACACAGTACAGACAGGCACAGAGGGACGTGGCCCGCGTTTCTGCACTTCGTCAGGATGGTTGCTGCCCTAGTGTCAGAAAGGGCGTGTGTTAATTACTCAGCAAAAAAACCTTTGATAGTTTTTACTGATTGTTCTTCCTAGACCAAAGGTGCACTAGGGTTTTTTGCTGATGGTAAATGTCAAACAGAAGGAGAAGCGGCTGGAATACATCAGAAAACTGCTCATCTTCAGTCGTATGTAGTAAAGCTCTAGACATTTAAGTGAGTAGCAGTACTATCACTTTAGTGTTATCACTTAATGCTTAGAAATCTGGGGGGAAATAAAAGTCACGCCCTTGGTGTCTTGTGCCCAAAAGGGAGCATTAGGATAAACAGAGATCTTCCATCCTTTGTCAGTCCCACATTAACCCAAAAATGGAGGGATCTGCACCTTTCTTTGGAACATGGGAAAGAAGGCTGGGTGGTTGCCAACGGTTTGTGTTCTGCTTAGTGTATCATGATGGCCTGCTGCACTCTTGGGTTTGACCCCAGCTTGCTCTTCATTAAAAATGTTTATTTAAATGATGTGTTTAAAAACATTTTAAAACATTTCTTTTTAGATGCTAAAGTGGAAAAGGCCCCAAAACGTTTTTGAAGAGTGCTTGAAAACTGTTTATAAGAAAAAGTACTTGAAGCAAGTCAGTGGGATTGAGGATCCCAGTGGCTGAGAGAAGGAGGCGACAGGGAAGCTGTGCAGAGGTCAGTGAGGGAAAATTGAAAAGCAGTTGTTAGAGGAAGATGTTTTTCAAATAGATGTTGATCTCTGCTTGCTGTTGCTTTTTATTTTCTTCTTGTTATGCTTTTAGTAAACAATGGAGTCAAACATAAAAGAGAATGAATATTTTCAAAGCCAATTTAAGGCTTATCAAGAACAACAGCAAAGGCGGCTGCAAAATCTAATGGAGAAGAAGGAAAAGCAGAATGGTCAGAAGGGTGATAATGGCAATACAAAGGTGACTTTCAGCATCCCGAATGATCTAAACCTCTTTGAAGCAGGACAACCTTTAAATGAAGATGACGGCAAAAGGTAAAGCTGTAGCAGCACCATTTCTTCAGGAAGTCAAAGAAGTGTATTTAGCAGACTTTTTATGAAACTCATATTAAGTGAGCAGCATGCTTTCTTCACGTATCAGGCTTTCAGTATACTGATGTCGTGGTTCCCAGGATGAAAGTCAAAAACACAGCAGTGCGCCAGCTACTAAGAAGGAGAAAAATGACTGCTATTGCTGAACCCAGGACAGCTGAGAAGACTTTCACTGTCCCTAAAGTGTCTATCCTTAGAGCACTATGATGTGCACTTTATTTTCAATGTCTCACAAATGAAGAGTGGAAGGACAGAGGGGTTAAGGGTGACATGCTAGGGGCAGCTAGGTACTATCTGTCAAAATCCAGTCATTCAGGATCACTAACACCGTTGGTTAGTTCCTACCTAGGCTTGTAAACAAACAAGTTCCCTATGTGAATAATTTCCAGAGACAGATAAGGACAAAAAAGGTAATAGGTGCACCCCAGAGGACTACACAAAAGTATTTCCCTGGCTATCTTTGCACTACAACCTGACTTAGTAGATGAAAAGACAGCCGGCTATGTAGGAGAGTCTTATAGGCAGAGTTGCCTCCTGGTTAAGATACTTGACAGGGTTGCACAAGGTAAGGTTTTAAGTCTTACTGGGGACAGGGGGTTGGGTCTTACCTCACCCACTGGGGCAGTGTCTGGATTACCAGGACATTGGATATTCTGGTATGGATCTCCCTTGATCTTGTTTTTAGAGCTGAGTTACTGGAGCAGAGAATTGAAACTTCAGCTGAGATAACTTATCTTCCTCCTAGGATATAGTTGGTCAGTCTTCCCTTCTGACCTAACTGATTTCTTTTTTACAAACTAGAACAGGTCCAAAGTTGGACACATCCCAAAGATGTCTGCAGTGTTGGCTGTTCAGGGGTATGCTCTGTGTTAGTGGTGAAGCCAGCTGAAGAAATTCCTGCTTCTACACCCCCCTTGCAGCTGTGCTGATACAGCTGTTTGCTGGAAACTGGATTCACTTTCTGGAGCAAGGGTACTTCTATCTCAGGTCATTTCAATGAAGAGGAGCTGGCAGCTTTGCTAAAACCAGCAAATCACAGGTGGAAAACCACAATTAGGCATATACCTTTGAGATAGTTTTCTCTCCCAGCATCTGGAGTCAGGAAGGGCACTTCTACCAAAGTTTATCAAGCCACTCACCAAGGTTTATTCATTCCTAAATGCTGATCTTCCTTCTGTGTTACTCTGGGCAACTCCCTGCTCAGTTTGTTTCTGAGAATTGCTTCCTGAAATGCCCAAGTGCATTAGCTGCAGCAGACCTTCTGTGAAGATGCAGGGAGTTCAGGAGCGAACCACTGAAACTTACAGATGTTTCTGGAAAAGTAGTGTTCGTGCTGTTCAGGAAGTCTGTGTATAAACAGGGAGCTGATCCCTCCATTGCATCATAGTCCCTCACTATGGCTGTTAGATTTGCCAGGTTATGCTTCTGATGTGGCCTCTACCAGCTGTCTTCTTCCCTTCAACATTTTGTTCTGATAGTATATGGAAGATTACTATGGAGATCTGGTTTTTTTAATATATATATATATTTTTTTTTTTTTTTTTTTAATGGAAAGGGAAACTGATTCCCATAGTTCAGATGTGGATTTGCCTAGTGGAGGAGAAGGCATAGGTGCTCTCATAGCACATCTTGATGCAGTGTGCATTCCCTGACATGCAGAGTATAGGAGCGTCCCAGCAGTTTTCTGTTATTTAAGGTCCAGTAGTTTAGGTCTGAGTAATTCAAGAGCTATTATGTATCCCTGTTTTCAGTGACGCTGACTGTTGAAAGTCCCCATTTGACACTGCAGGTGTAGCAGATTTATCTGGATTGTCCTTTGCTTAAGTACTTCTGTGTTCAGCAAAAGAGGGGTTACGAGTGTATCAAATCCAGGCAGAATTTGCTTCTGGAATGGATTCACCAGGATGTACTTTGCAGTATTCCCATGACAACACATTAGAAACTTGTTCCAGAATAACAGGACTCCATATGGTCTGCAGTGGCAGTGATTTCAGCACGTCAGTGTTGTTTATAGCAGCAATGGAAAACATTCTCCCCTCAGAAGTTTTGCTTCCTCTGAGCCTTGGGAGTTTGTTTTTCTTTCCTCTGTCCTACTCCCAAATTTTGTTTAAGTGAGTGGTTAGGTGAAACTTCTGTCTTTCTGGTTTGTTCTTTCTGTCATTTTATCCTCCCTAGTGGAGGAACGGTTGGACTTGATGATCTTAAAGGCCTTTTCCAACCTGGTTGATTCTATGATTCTACTCTGGTATATTTAAGTGATTCTCTCCATCACATGGAGAATTTGTAACAGAGTTGGGAAAGACACCAGAAGTTCAGTTACAGACCCTGTTCATAAGCTTCACCTGTCTCTATTTCCTTGAGCTAGAGTGAAAAGGGTTACCTTTTGGTGGCCTGTTTCTTTTGGCTGACTTTCTGTAGCTGAGTCACTGGGGTGGAAACTGCTGCCTCCTTTGCAATATGTAGAGTCACTCTGGGATGGGTGGGATGGAGGTGTTTCTCAGAGGAGACTTCAGCTCTGTGCAGCTGGGGTTTGTGTCCATCCTACTAAAGTGCTTTTTGTTAAGACTTGGAAGCCAGCTCTGAAGAAGACATCGCTGCTCAGGTGTGATAAAAGCTGAGAGCCTTTTTTCATGTTAATTCTCTAACTGTT